TCGTAGACAAGGCTTTTGAACAGATTAAAACAAATTACTTTTCCTTTTGACCTCTGGGTCAAACTGGACAGTTTCAACTCCAAATTACATGATCACTCTTCATTTGTTAGCGCTGAAAGTCGCTGCTGGGTAAGGTGTAAAGGCAGTGCTCCAGGCAGGAGGTTTCAGATAGTTTCAAGGGAACTAGTTTAGAAATTTCTCTTAGATGATTTGCAGTACTTTACACTTCTGTTATATTTAACGGTGTTCAGTCGTCTTATCTTGTCCTCTTGTTTGCAATATTGAAAAACCGTTGAATTTACCTGTAAGATTTTATGTTGGTCGCTGTTAGATCTGATTTGATTTTCCCCAGTCTCCATGTAGTCGAACGGGCTACCGTAGGAGATTGGATGGCTGAAAAGGTTTTCGACCAGCGTATGGCACATTAAAAAATTCATATGAGACTACAAATTATGCAAAGTAATCCAGTATCTAATAAAAGAGAGGAAGAGGGAAAACCAAAGCAAAGGTGTTGCAGTATTTTAGGGAATCATACGAAACTGCGAGGAGTGAGCAAACATTTTACCAAAGACCAAGAAATTAGGCTCAACCAGCTGTCTGCTGTGGGGCAGATGGGATTACGTTAGGAATCAGAAGATGTAATACATTAGTTTATGGTTGTTTTTGCTGATTTGCCACTGTCATCCCACAAGATTATTTATTCAATCATTCGAAAGTGCCAGCCGGGACAAAGGATACAAACTGTCCATGGATTGTGAACAAACCTCGTCACTCCCGTTACTGTAAAACTGCTTAACGAGCAGCATGGGTCTGAAGTACTCCTTTGACTCCAAGTGTCACAACAGCTGCGGACTTCACACCCAACTGCGGAAATCAACCCGAGCCACCCTGAAGATGACCGGTAAGAGACGAGCTGAAACGAGCTGAAATGTCGGTACTGGTCAGTCACCCAACTGACCAACTTACTTGCGTTGTGAATAAATAAATCGTTTATATGCATTTTTAAGTTTTAAATTATTACTGCCGTCACTTCCACAAGTTTCACCACTATGCAACACTGTCTAAAATATTATTTTGGACTTTTCGTAATGCCTTTCGTGCCTCGAACCGTCAAGTCAGACAATGACTAGCTTTAACCACGTTTCTCTTCTGATTTAAAGTAAAATAATTTCGGGATGGTTGCGTTGTTCGTTGGAAA